CCCTGACCCTGATGCCTGTGCAGCAGCAGGCGTCCCGGAGAGAGGTACCTGTCTTGGCTGGCGTGACTCGGCTCCGGGTCACCCTGTCGGCCCCGGGGGCCGTCCGCCGGCCCCCCGCGACGGAGCCCGAGGAGGAAGGCTGGCTGTCTCCCTCGTCCTCCTCCACCACGGACGCGGTGCCTTCCGTCAGCTCCGAGGCTGCGGAGAGACGGGTCACAGCCCCGTGAGCCAGCCCCTACGCCACGGGCCGCCCCGACACGGGCAGAGTCCGCCAGAAGCACGTTTGTTTATACCCCCCCAGCTCTAGTTCCTGGGAGGCTGCTGACTGGGCAAACACTCGCCTGTCAGAAACAAAAACCGCAACCAATTCTCCCAGCTGTCTGCCAGGCTCCTGAGCACACCTGCTCCTGCTCGCCCCCGGGCTCCCCGGTTCTGGGCCGGTGAATTTCCATGAGGCTCGGCTCCCTCAAGGGGGGCTCGGGAGTCCGAGGAATTGCTTGCAAATTGCCCAGAACGAGCGCAGACGGCTTTTCCTTTCATCCCAGACAGGGCTCCCATACTGACGCACTTCAGTACGGCCCCTTGATCTGATGGGAGCGAGCCTTTGTACTTCATGAAGAGGCACTAAATGCAACGGCACAGCTCATAGGGAAGGCAAGACAGCCTCTTCTTCTACCGCTTCTGATCAGGGACCAGAGCTCAGCACTTAATTTGAGTGACCTTTCGAGCTTATCTGTGTGCATGTGCTCTCCAGCATACCGACAACACAAAGAGAACAAGTAAGGAGGAAGTGTCCCACATTCGCTGGAGAGGTTAAAAACCACAAGGAAAAACTACGGTCAGCACACGCGTTACCCTGCTAGGCGTCACCCGGTAGATTACAGATATACAGCGGTCTCAAACCTCACCTTGAGATGACCTTCGAGAGCTGACCCTGGTCAGACACAATGAGGTATTCGGGGTTGATTTAGGCTGAGACTTTCCTTGCTTGTGCTTCCCTTTCGGGCTGAACGCAGAGGAGAGAGAAGGGGAGAGAGAGAACAGAGAACGGTGAATTCTGGGAAAGGGCGGTCCGCTGCACCTCCGATCCACTGTTGCCCCCTCCTGTCATCTGCACGGGAGTGTCAGCCACTACCTCTGCTGCGCTCCACACGGAAGAGGGACAGAAATGCGGCTTTAAAATGTGGCAGTATAGTCAACGGCACTCTTCCAAATAAAGACAAGAGGCAACTCCACTGTGGTGCTTTTTACTAGACCACACCACACACTACAACTGTTGAATTCCCACTGCCTTGCGATCCTGCCCCATAAATGGATACACCAGTGCTCCATGACATCACAATAATTTTACCGCTGTCTTTTGACAGCTGCACTGCCTCACACGACTAAACCTTTTAGCCGATATAATAAAAATCACCAATGTATTAACAGATCTCCAGGATGACAACCTGAAGTTCATTTGACAAGTGAATCCCTTTAGCTGGTAAAATCAAGAACAAATTCTCATGCACAACAACAACCGGGAAGACCCATTTATACAGCAGGAGAGCTTCCGGAGCAAGCAGAATGAAATCCATCGCTCAAGGAGAAAAGCAGCAGCGTTCTCCCTGGGATCTGAACTTGCGACGCTGTAAGCAATTTCTTCAAAATCCTCAAAGGCACTGGCCCTGTGGATTTCTTCAGAGAAACATGAGCCAAAAGACACAAACGGAAACAACAGGGAAGTGCATGCAAAACCGACACAGAGAAGCCCATCTTTACACAAAGGGTGGTAGGGGTGTGGAACAAGAACCCCCCCCCCCAGCCATGCCACATGGCCTTGTCCTTTTTGCCCGTTTGACCTCCCAATGTGCTTACGAGTCCAGAGCCTGAAAGACGACACTGCCCAGCTTCCTTTAAACAAACGGGATTGCTGGGACACTGGGGAAGGTCACCCATCTCCCCCCCTGGCCGATCGATCACAGGGATTGATTACCTGGAGGCGCGGCTGGTGGAGGGGGAGCTGCTGGTGCTGCGCAGCCGCTTGCGGTAGCTCAGCCGCTGCCGACTGCGCCGCTGGTTCTGCACCGCGGACTTGTAGTCCGAGATGATGGACAGGATCTGAGCTTCAAAGAAGGCCGACAGGCTGAGCGTCATGCTGTAGATCTGAGGCAGAGTGAAGGGGGAATGGAAACAAACAGACAAACATGGCTTTAATGACCAGAGCGGGAGAGCTCCGAACCTCCGCAGGGGCCTGCATGAGTACTCTCCTGGCGTTTGAAGGGTGGCCGCCGGTAATTTTCTGCCTCCTTCTCACTCTCTTAGCCCTCCAAAGGTACTTTAAACAAGAGAGGCAAGAGCTTTTAGCTTTGATTCCGCAGAGAAGGCAGTGGCTAGAGCAGTGTCCATCACCAGCCCTTCAGAGCTGAGAAGAAACTAAAACACATCTCCACGGGCCTTTGATCCACGCGCAGGCCGATTTTCAGATGTAAAAACCAAGCGCCCATGACAGACCGCAGCGGAGAGAAAAAAAACTATATGAAAAGCACGGTACCAGCAACAATGAGGCTCGAGTGCATTGAAATAAAAAGTTTGCAAAAAGATTGAACTTCTTAAGAGTCAGCATACAATGCAGTCTGAACCATTACTGCAAAGCAGGTGTCCGCCCTGGTCATCCTTTTCCACCAGAAATGAGGGCTATTTGGCTACTGTAGTAAATCACAGTCCTAGTTTTCAAATCCTAATGACAGCAGCTATCAGCGAGGCTGATTAAGATAATGGAAGTGCACTGCAAACAAACTGCACTGTAATTCGTTTCGGGGGAAAAAAAAAAAGATCCTAAAGTATATAGAAACCATCAAAATAAACTTAAACCAAAGGGCGGTTTGTAGTTCGCATGACTCAGCTTTCACATCCAGGCGGCCAGCCAACAGGGCAACAATCCCGCACAAAATTAGCGTTTTGCACTGCTCAAAGAAAATGAGTGAGGATTAACATGTCGCCCTCTCCATTACTTATCCCCAGAAATGTGCCAGTATTGTTCCTTATATAAACTCCCAGCCCAGCGTCTCCTTCCCACGTATCCAGTGCAGTGGGATAGCAGGGGATGCTCACCCGGGATTTCTTGTTGGGGGTGTAAGCCTTGGAGTTGCTGAAGATCAGTCGGACATCCTTGGAAAACTCCATGGGGTTCTCGTAATTTCCAGCATGCAGGGTCTCGGAAACCGTTCCCAGATCCATCGGCGTATCGATGATATCCCGGTAATCCTAACGGAAAAGGAGGAACAACTAGACACATGCCACACAAGCTGAGTACACACTTTGTATTTTTCTTCTTCTGATGACTAAATGTTACAACACAAAAGCCTTTCCCCACTGAGACAGACACTGAAAGAAGGTATACTAACAGTATGCTGCTCCCACAATATCACTCCTGGTTAGCAGGAGGTACTGTGAAATGCAGATTAGGATAGCAACTGTTCATATTTGAAGAAGTAATCCCTATTTTAAGATCAAGAAATCCATTTGCAAGTTCGTTATAATCTACGTGTTGTATTCTAGCCTCGGCAGGGACAGACTGCAGCGCCAAAGGGGCAGACTGGCAAGAGGCGGTTCTTTACCGGATAAGCGAAGAGGTCAACAGGCTGGCGGAACGGCTCGGAGTCCTCGCACTCCAGCATGCGGGTCACTAGATCCCGGCACTGCTGGCGCCACGCCCCCACGTCCAGGGGCACGCCGCGCCGCTTTGGAGAGGGCTGGGCCCGCTGAGGCAGGAGGAAGAGAGGAAGACGGGATCAGCACTCTGGTAGGGCACGACTGCAGCTCTTGGGACAGGGGGGTGGGACGCCCGTTCGGCTTCTCTTGGGACAGGGGGGTGGGACACCCGTTCGGCAGCTCTTGGGACAGGGGGGGTGGGACACCCGTTCGGCAGCTCTTGGGACAGGGGGGGTGGGACGCCCATTCGGCAGCTCTTGGGACAGGGGGGGTGGGACGCCCATTCGGCAGCTCTTGGGACGCCAGGTAGGCGCCTCCCGAGACTAGGGAGGCTCTTGAGACAAGAGGGTGGGACACTTGGTCAGCAGCTCCAAAGGTGAGAGGGTGGGACTGACGGCTCCAGAGACGTAGGACGTGTAAATCCCCTCCTGGACAGCTGCAGGGCCCACTGGTGTTCGTTTCACTGCTAAGCTGCTTGCTTAGCTGAAGTCATTATTCAGATCAGAAGCCAAAGCACCCACTTATTTGGGTAATGATCGCTTCCGAATTAAAGGTACCCTGTAAAGATGGCAGGGCTCCAATGCTTCAGAACTCTAGCCACCCATACCTACTCTTAACAGAGGGAGAGACATAGTGCCTGTTCTCATCACAAGCTCTCTAATCCTTCAGAGCACTGATATGCAAGCCCAACATATTTCTTCCACTTGGTCCCCGAGTGCTACAGATTTTTCTAGTTCCTACTCTTACTCCTGCAGCTGTGAAAGATCTAACTAATCAAGAGCAAAACCAAAACTGTGACACTGAGGGACTGGATTTTAGGCACCCCTGCTTAAAGGAGACATTCAACTCTTCAATCAGTGCAGCTAGCCCAGCTTGCGAGGTGCCTTAGTCTAAACTGTTTGGGGAAATGAATATTTTACTTCAGATGCCCTTGCACCATCAGAAACTCGTGGACATTAGCTAGAGCAGGGGTCTCAGACTTGCCGATTTTCAGAAAAGTTGGTGTCTTCTGGTTTTAGGGCTGGCATGAGCAGCCAATTCAACAGTTAACCTAATTTTTCTTAAACAAACCATTTTGCAACTGGTTGCACAAAATGCTCACATTGATTAAAAAAGTACAGGTACCTTCAAAACACCTGAAAGTCAACTCTGAAGTTTCACCATTTTGCAGTTAATTAAATAATTAAACCAGAAGACTGAGCAGATGTCCAATATCCTCGTTCTCGGTTTTAACGGCGGCTAAGCTCTCAGTATCCTAAGGGAGGTTATAATCTACTTAGAAGGGTTTCAGTTTGTGCCTGTACAATTTAAAACATGGACTAACTGCATAGGTAAAAGCATGTTAATGGCCGAGTGGTGATGTACTCACCCGGCGCCCAGTGGAGGTCCCAGGGGTGTCCGAGTCCACGTCCACCTCTGCCTCCTGCAAGGACAAGACGGTCTCACACCACGGCCAGCGCTATCGCCAGGGACGGCACACGACCGGCGGTGCATGGCCCCTTTCGGAAAACAGGATTCAAATTCCAGGACCACCCCTCCACTCCCAAATAGCATCCTGCATCCCCTCTGTCGAACCAGTCTCCCCATACAGCAGACGTTTTACCCAGAGGAGGCTTTCCCCACAAAGAAACGGCAAGAGAGCTGTATCTCGGTCACAGCAACCTGCTGTTCCGTATGCACATACTCATTAAGGTCCTATCCTTCCTCCTCCTCCTCCCTCACCTCCTCTTCCTCCACTGCGCTGCTCATCTCCTCCGTCTTCACCTTGTTGTAGAGATCCAGGATGTCGGTGCAGCTCTGGTCCCTGTGGCAAACAAGTGTTGAGGCAGGTTTAGATCAAGACCACCCCTGGAAGGGTTAGTCAGGAGAAACATCTGCTGGACAACAGCATTTGTGGATTTAGAAGTATACGCATACGCTGGAACAGAAACAATTCTTGCCCTCCCCCCAAAGTTGATCTAAAACATCTCCGATCTCCCAAGCTTCGTGCTCTTGCAGTTAAGGCAACCGCGGTTGTTATCCCCAGCCAGCCTGCTTGAGCTGGGGTGCCGAGCTGTGAATTACAGATAATAATAATAATAATTGCTGACACTTATATAGCGCTTTTCTGGACACTCCACTCAAAGCGCTTTACAGATAACGGGGATCCCCTCCACCACCACCAGTGTGCAGCCCCACCTGGGTGATGTGACGGCAGCCATAGTGCGCCAGAACGCTCACCACACATCAGCTATCAGTGGGGAGGAGAGCAGAGTAATGTAGCCAATTCATAGATGGGGATTATTAGGAGGCCATGATTGGTCAGGGCCGATGGGAAATTTGGCCAGGATGCTGGGGTTACACCCCTACTCTTTTCGAGAAACGCCCTGGGATTTTTAATGACCACAGAGAGTCAGGACCTCGGTTTTACGTCTCATCCGAAGGACAGATACACTTGGCACTTCCACTGGTACACTCTGATAAGGAGCCAGCGGCTGATCTGCCTACATATCGGGGTCACCACATTTCAGAAAAGATTCTGCTGCCCTGGAGTCAGTCCAGAAAAAAACAAACAAACGCACGCATTCCAGAGCGTCGGGGAGCGTCCTGCACTGAGAGACTGAAGGAAGTAAACCCGTGTAGTCCCAAGGCAGAAGTCTACAAGGTGACCCAACACAAGTACGCAAAGTCCTCGGACATCGACAAAATCCAGGTCCCAGATGAGTCCTTCAGAATGAAGGGTGTAACACGCACTAGAAGGAACAGGAAGTACACTTAAAACCATTGTGAGTGTACGGAATAAGCTGCCAGCAATGCTGTTGAAGCCAATCCTGCCTTTCTTTTTCCCCAAAGAAGCTCGGGTACGAGACCCTTGTATCGGTTATAATCTAACTACCAAACAGGCCAGACGGGCCTCTCATCCGTAAGTTATTCGCACAAGGTACACAATCCTTACGGATGCCGAACAGCCTGGATCCACCCCGGTTCTCCAGCCTCCCGGCTCGGGCTGGCTCCCCCATCGCAAACGTACCCGATGAAGCGCAGCAGCACATCGGTCACGATCTTGGCGGCGGCGACGATGGGGCTCTCCGGCTCGTTGAAGGTGCGGGCGTTGTGCTCGATGTAGCGCACCTCCCACATCAGGGCCGAGATCCGCCTGCGGGCACACACAAATACACACAGCTCGAACATCAGTAGTCTCCCAGCGCTCTGCAGCTCGAGCACAAGACATACTGGAGCAAAAGGGCATTTCTGCTTTCAGTCTACAGTGACGCACAACGATATCAGAGCTGCTCAGACTGTGGCCTTTCCAATTACAACAACCTCCACTACTGCCAGCACCTTGTTGCACTGGCCATGCTAATTATGACATAATTAAGGACCTGGTCAATCAACGTCACTGCCTAGTGTCCCATCACAGCTCAGACTGGGATGGCAGCTACGTTAAGCCTAAGTGACCGGAACCCAGCCGCCTGCAGGTGATACCCATTGACAGAAAACCCGTTCACAGAGAAGGGACAGCAGCAGCAGCACTAGCCTGTAGAAGTGGTTCTCCAGTCTCTTGCGGACGGTGCTGAGGTCCGTGGGGTAGGCCACCACTGTGCAGTACAGGGGGTAGTCCCGCAGGTCCACAGGAGAGCAGAAGGCCTTGGCGATGTCTGGGAAGGAAGAGGGAGAGAGATCGATCGATCAAGGAATCAGTCTGGTGGAGCGGGGAAGCAGACACACGTTGTGGTGCTCGAGAGGAGCGGCAGAGTGTGAAGAGAACTTATTAGGCATCACCCACCATCCAGCACCAGCAGGCGTATCACCCTGCAACTGGCAGCCCACTGAAGCTCAGCAGGTGTGAGCCTGGTCAGTACCTGGATGAGAGGCCTCCTGGGAAAAACTAAGGCTGCTGCTGGAAGAGGTGTGAGTGGGGCCAGCAGGGGGCGCTCACCCTGCGGTCTGTGTGGGTCCTAATGCCCCAGTATAGTGACGGGGTCACTACACTGTAAAAAGGCGCCGTCCTTCGGGTGAAACTGATGTTCTGACTCTCTGTGGTCACCAAACATCCCAGGGCATTTCTTGAAAAGAGTAGGGATGTACTCTCCCCCCCTGGCCTTTACCAGTCATGGCCTCCTAATAATCCCCATCTTCATCAGCTGCTCACCTACACTACTGGCGCCGGGGCAGTTCAGGAGCCACCTCGGAAAATTCCAGGCCGCTGCAGAAACTCCCAGAACACTGCGTGGGAACGTGACTCGTCCCCTCCAGCACCAAGAGAGTACCGAGTCTAACCTGGGTTACAGGCCCGACGGGGCCGGGCGGACAGGTAGGCACGGGGCGCGGGCATACCCAGAGTGAGCAGCTCGTCGATGCCCTGGATGACCCTCTCGCACTCCTCGTCCCGTGTGTGAGCTCCCCACTCCCCTTCCTGGGGCTTGTAGAGCAGGGACTTCAGCTCCTCCTCCGTCACCGGCACCCCGTCGCCGACCTCCTCTGGGAACGAGGCTGCCGGGGCAGGAGAGAGAGAGAGAGACGCATGATCGCTTGCTACACCTCCGGGATCACTACTGCGAGGTGGAGTCCAGAGATTCCAGATCAGATAAGATCACTTTATCTGCCCTATAACAATCTCTTGCAGTAGGGATTTGTCTTTTCGCAGACCCCAGCTTGCTCTCCATATAGGGAGAGAGAAGCCTGGGGTCAGAGCGCCTGGAGCAGTTGGGGTTAAGGGCCCAGCGGATTCCTCTGCCGGCCGCGGGATTTGAACCAGCAACCTTCCAGCCACAGGCGCAGATCCTGAGCCACAGAGCCACCACTCCGCCCCTAATGATGGTCACCCTGCAGGTTACAGAGCTCCTCGGCACACAGGACACTCGGAGGGCTGCAGAACTAGTGCCTACAGCGTCGGGCTACAGGCTAACAAGGAATCGCTCACGGCTCTGATGGCTGCTACTGCGAAATGAGAGAGGGGATGGGGCAGACCAACAGGGCACAAGATGAGCCGTTAATCCTTTCTGGATTCATTAGGTGCAGAACTGTGTTTTTTGACATGTGTTTCAAGAGATGGATAGGGAGGGAGGTTTGGGAGAAAAAGAGAAAGAAAAAGGAGTGAAGTCAAAGAGGAGAGCAAAACCAGTCGGAGAGGACGACAGCAAGGAAACAGGAAAAGAGAGACACAGGCTGAAAGTTAGACACCCCATATCCTCACAGGGCCTGTGAGGTTAATCCCCTGCCTGTGTTCAGTGTACATCATGAAGGGATATGTACTGAACAGCCCTGGAAGAGCCCTACTCATCGGGACTGACCTTGATCGGGAATGGGTTCCATATCCCAGGGGCTCATCTTCTCCCTTTCTCCATTATCCCACCTGGAATCAAGGCAGGAAGGCACGCCGTTATTCTGCAAGTGACCCTCACCACTTCAGAAACGAAAAAGAACGCCTTCACTCGGGAGCACGCAGAAAACCCTTTGCATCCCAGGCGGGCCTCGGACATAGCAGGTGAGGCGAAGGGGTCATATTTCTCACCAATCCAGATCAGAGGCACGTATCAGGGCTGAGCCCTGGTACTGCACGGGCCACGGGGGGGGGGGGGGGACGTGTAGCAGGACTCGTGCAGCGTTTCCTGCTGGGACACGGCTGCAGGAGTTCTTACCGTACAGCGTAGCACTGGAACAGGCTGTCAGGATACTCCGGCTGGAAGGGCTGCTGGCTCTCCACTGACCCGAACCACCAGGCATCATCAATAATACTGCGGAACCCCACGCCTGCCGACAGCAGCACACACACTGTTAACAACAGCTGGCTTTTCTCCGAGCTGCGAGACTTAAGCGGTGTCTTGGTGGTCTGATAACCCCCCCTCGTGTCTTGCCAATGACCTTCTGGCGCGCTCTTCCGAGCTCTCTGTGTGTCAGCATTCGGTTCTCGCGCACAACCCACCCTCGGTGAGGTGTGACGAACGGTGCCAACGGTGTGTGGGGAGGAGGGGGGCGGGGGGGCTCACCAGGCTGCCAGTTTCGCTCCTTGGCCTCGTTATAAAACTGCTGCAGGACCAGGAAGTCGATGACATCCGGCATGTCGTGATACCTGAGGACCAAACACAGAGAAAGGTCAGAGCAAAGGGCCGCTGCTCTGCGTGGGCCGGGGACCACAGGACAAATTCTAAAGTACCTTCAAGAGAAAATGGAACATAAAATGGAAAATGTTGCACTTAAACTTTTCTGTTTTCGGCATGCGCCCTAAGAAGCATTCATTCAAAAAGGTTCCTTTAAAAAAAAGGTCACCAACAGAAAAGCAAATAATCACTCTCAAATCCACAATCTCGGCTATTAACTAAAAGGCAAACTTCAGGAAACCTTCCACAGTGCCATTAAGATACCAGCCAGGGTCTCGCTCGTACTCGTAGCTCCTAGCAAGCCGACAAGGCTCCTTTGCAGCCTCTCTCGTATTTTCACATCAACACCCAGACCCCTCCTGCCCTCCTTCTGCAGCCCGATAGCCCAGGAGATGGTGCACCCCAAGCGTGCTCACTTCAGAGAGAAGGACTCCCCGGTCATCTTCCCAGAAATGGGGTCCAGGAAGGCCAACTTCAGGCAGCACAGCGTGGGCGGCCCAACCTCGTACTTGATCCCCACCACCTTCACGGACTCCTGGTCCTGGGAGCAAGCGGGAGGAGAAGGTGAGCAAGGCAAAGGGTCTGTCGGGAAAGCGCAGGCTGCGCACCGGCCGGCGTGCACCGCCACCCCCCACTCACCCTCAGCTCCAGCTTGTTCCAGGGCTGTTTCTGCGGGTTGATGCTGTAGGACTTGGCCTTGCGGACAGCTCTCACATAGGCCTCGTGGCCCTGGCGAAAATATATGAGCTAGGAGGGAGAGAGAAAGAGAGAGAGAGAGAGAGCATGCTTTCAGCGGTAAGAACCAACGCCTGTTCCAGGACACCAAAGCAAAGGCGGACAAACAAACTAAAAGATAAAACTGGTTTAAGATGGAAACGCTGCTTTACACAATGAGCTGCAGAACGGGCTCTCGGCCAGCGCAGGCTGAGGCTCAAAAGCTTGGCTCCTTCAAGAAGCTCATGAAAGACATTTCAGGTCTAACCAATACACCGCCAAATGATCTCCTCTCGTCTACAACCTTTTGCTAAGTTCTGATGCGGTTCGTGGACCCTGCTGGTAACGATCACTTGGTTACAGGGGGGTCTGAAGGGAACGGGGACCGAAAAGGCAAGGCTGCCCAGTCGCATCCTGACTTCATGCAGTCCGTCTTTGCCAGCAGAACTAAAACACTGGAAAACGATCATATTTCATTCACGGCTCAGGACGGTTCTATCAGGCTCTATTAAGGGAGCAGAACTTCTTTCAGCCCCTTACAGGAAATACAGTGGACCAGTGCTCCCCGGTAGCCTGGGCCCAATAAGAGGATTGTGCCAAAGGTTGTCTAGTCAGTTATCCGTCATCGGAATAATTGCTCGTCCCGGGGACCCAGAGCCTTTCCCGGAAACACGGAACACAGGTCGGGACAAGGAGGGCTGGGATCCCAGGCTTGCTGCAGAGCCGTGAAGAAACGGATATTCAAGGACAGACAATTAAACCCGACACTTCGGAGGAGTCAAGAAACCGGAGGACCAGACAGAAAAAGAATAGAATGCAGGCGGCTAATGTGTCCCCCCCCCCCCAGCAGCCTCACCTCATCCCCCATCTGCGGCACGAAGGGCGAGCGGCGTGGGATGGTGTCCATGATCCAGGGTGGAGGCAGCCACTCCTCTGCGGCCTCCCCTGCCACCGCCAGTGACGAGTGGGGCTTCTGTGGGGGGGGGGGGGAGGGAGACACACACTCAACACACGGGCCCTGCGCTCAGCACTGGGGTGCAGGTTCCCCCACGCGAGCGGTGAGCCCGCTCCGGCACGTCCGCGGGTTCGCGGGTCCCGCCGCAGCACGAAATCGGCGCCCTGACGGAGCGGGCGGCCCCAGGGCTCAGGCGGCCTAACGGGTGACTCGCCTGCGCCTCTTTCAAAGCCTTTCGCCACCGCCGACTGAGCAGGAGCTGGCTGCAGGGTGAAACGAGTGAAACGCTAAGCAAACCAACTTAAGAGGGAAGGATCTGCTGGGAACTGGGGGCAAGAAAAATGTCAGCAACTACAGACCTACAGACTGACATTCCACATGTGGTTCAAGACGAAAGGCCCATCTCTCAATCACAGAGACATAAGGTGCAAAGCAGCTTGGCACCTGTAAACCGCATAAAGAAAAAACTTTATAACTGAATAAGGTTACACCTTTCTCCTTTCACCCAGCTAGAAACCCCTAGGAAGTGTTACTGAATTCGGTGGCACAACACAGAAAGAAGACCGAAGGCGCTCTGGGAGACTGGTTCTGCCCTCCACAAGGCATCAGTGAGTACAAGTTGAGCTTACCCGAGCTCAACAGGCTGCTATACATGCAGATGAGCAACCACACACTGCTCTAGACCTGCGGGCGCACCAGCATCCTGAGTAGGGCCTTGTGCTGTTCCACATTTACCTTCGAAGGGAGGTAAGCAGAACAGCACCGGTCTGGTCAGCTAAGGATTCTGGGAATGGAGGAAGCGTCAAGGCAGTCACTGCCTTGGAGGTCAACCGGGACAGGAAAAGGGGGCCGGCAGAAGGGCAGGTGCAGAAAACGCCTGCCGCCGTTGCGATCCAGGAAGACGCCCCCCCTTGTGCTACACTACACACGCAGGGCGCACAAGGGCGAGGCTCGTGCGCGACGCACGTCGTGCTCGGGGGGAGCGTGCTCAGACCGTGGTGGGAACAGCTCCAGTGTTGAGCGGAACACGGCGTGGAAATTAGAGCACCGATTTATCGGCATTAGCAGCTGTGCACAGTTTCAGATGTTGACAATAGACCAACACAAATTAAAAGGAGATTATTAGATCAATAACGGGAACGCTGATCTCGGACAACTTGCTCTCAGACGGTTTGCTAACATGAAGTATTGCTCTCCGACCACGGAGCATAAAGCACGAAAAAAAAACCCTGTAATGTCCTGTAGAACCTTGCTTATTGCTCTCACTCCCAACACCAGTCTCCTCCTCCTATCCCGTCATCAACAGGTCTCTGTCAGAAGCCCACCTTCCGTTTCGTCTGTTTGAGCTGCTTTCGTTTCTCGGCCTGCCTCCTCCTCCTCCTCCTCCTCCTCTCGTCGGTGGCCCCGCCCTCCTCGGTGGCCCCCCCCGCCTCGTCCTCGGAGGAGCTGCTTCCCAGGTGCCTCACGGGCCGACGGGTGAGCCGCTTCGGGGGCTGGAGGTTGATCCCCGCATCCGCCGTCCAATCGGAGTACTCGCTGGAGGACTCGCTAAAACGAAAGGTCAAAGGTTGGCGCCGGGGAGGGGGGGGGAGGCGTTGTAGGTCGGGGATTCAAGCAAAGATGAAGAGACCTCAGCCTGAGAGGTAAGAGTAGGCCTTCCTGCCATATTAGCACTGCACTTAGACAAGACCTTAAAACTGGTGATGAGCAACTGCAGCTATAAAAGCTATACAAACACTGTTACAGTAACTAATGTAAAACCTTCCCTTATAGACTGATAAGAGATTTCTTTAGGATGGAAAGATCTGATAGAAGGACGGGTTACCTGTGAGAACAATGGCCTACAAAATCTCTGAGGTACCGCCTATGGGGAAAGGATGCTTGACTTTTCAGTGACGTAATTAAGCCCCCCACATACAGGCACTACCAGCAAAACTGCATTAATAATAATAATAATAATAATAATAATAATAATAATAATTGCTTACACTTATATAGCGCTTTTCTGGGATTATTAGGAGGCCATGATTGGTAAGGGCCAATTGGAAATTTGGCCAGGACACCGGGGTTACACCCCTACTCTTTTCGAGAAGCGCCCTGGGATTTTTAATGACCACAGAGAGTCAGGACCTCGGTTTTTTACGTACGCATTACAGTTTGAACCAGGGCTCTTGCTTGGAAAGAGGAGCCAGTCCTCCCCCAGCTGGAACCTGCTCAAGGTTCCAGATGGGAGGGACAGAAATCTTTATTTAGAGGGAAAGAACGACGAAAAGTCACCCTTGCTAACAATGACAGGAGATACATTCACTGAAGCCCCCTGCGATCATTAACCATTAAGCAGGTGTGATCTTGGCCAGTACCTGGATGGGATGCCTCCTGGGAATGTTAAGGGTGCTGCTGGAAAAGATGTCAGTAGGGCCAGTAGGGGGTGCTCACCCTGCTCAACACAACTAGAACACAGGTGGCTAATCTGGGCTCCTTGCTTAACATTCCAGGTCTTTAAGGTTACTGATAGTTACATATTGAAGAGCCTTTTGCCAGAAGTCAATTAAGCCAATTAAGAAATTAGAGCATTGGTGGGACTAAAGGCCTTTTCGCTTTCCGAGCAACGTCCAGCTGCACCAGATGTGATGGAGAGACTCACCTGGAGCTGCTATCGGTCTGCCACTCTGCCTCTCCCTCTCCCGAGGACGGCTCGCTGGGGTCAGGCTGCTCCTCCTCCTGCTGAACACACCCACCCAGACAGAACGAGTCAAAGGCCTGCAGAAACTCCCCAAGTCAAGATCAAAAACAAGCAAAAAACAGTCTGAGATCTGCCTTTAACAATAAAAAAAAAATCCATGTACCTTCGATGGTGCGTCACAAAAAATCACCCTGACAAACAAAGACCAACGTTTTTCTGTTCCCAATACTGGTGCACTGCAGCAAGGGAACAATTTTACCCTGTTTCTGACCCAGGGGAGTCTACTAAAGGTTAACACTGTAATTGGGCAGATTAAAGGAGAGGGGACAAAAGCTATAAGTAACATCACAGGCTGTAGATCTTTGATCTATAAACCGAGCCAGAATGCCAATTTTGTGAAAGGAAATTTGAGTGCTGGGGCAGCAGCAGGAGACCCTGGACCTCCCTCGCGATGCTTTCATGACAGGGCGTCCGGTTTCTCCGTCAGCCAGACGGCCATACCTCGTCCTCAAGGTCGGACTCCTCCTCGCTCTGCGCGCCGCGTGCGCGGTCCTGCTGGGGGCGCTCTCTGGCCGAGCGGGTCTGGTAAGCATGCTGCTGCTTCCGCCTCGTCCTGCGCAGGGAGCGCGTGCCGGACTCCTGCTGCTCGCTCTGCTGGGCCAGACCGCACAAGAGACGTCAAGGGCCAACCAGGACGCAGCAGACCCCTCCCGCACACATACACACACCCAGAAACACCAACATTGATATTTCCATGACAATATCACACAAAGATTCCACTCAAAACACAAACGAGAGGAGGCCATCTGGTGCTTTTCACACATATGGTAGCTAGCAATTACTTTCCCTGAGGAAAGCCACAGCACAGGCTTTAACCATGGCTGTGTCGCGTGTTCCACTCTCCCACAACCCTTTGTGTAAAGAAGTAAGTCGTCCAGCCGCCACGAGAGCAGCCAAGCTGGCTGGCACTCATCTCATCACAATTTTAAAACAGCAAAGCTCACCAAGCTCACTGTGTGGTGCCTTTTCACAAGGGTTCAAAATTCTGCTCTCCCCTCGACTCCAAGCCCCCAGACGCCAGTGCAGTCTGGAGCACTTGGCACCCAACGGGGCTGCAGAAAACTCTGGGGAGGAAACGGCCAGCGGGCCCGCAGACAGACCACTCACCCTCTGTGCGGCGTGGGCGGGCTTCTTCCTCCTCTCCGCGTTGTACAGCGCGCACTCCACCTCGCCCTTCGCCAGCCTGCACTCCTCCATCACCCTGCGACACACATTCACGCCGTTTCAGCCTCCATCATCCAGAGGGCGGGCCGGTGGAGGGTGCGGGCCAAAATGAGTTCTCCCCCCCCACCACCACCCTCCCCGTTTGCTGACAACAAAACTGTTTTTGATCAAGCTGATGATCATTCACGACAGACGGCCTTCCCAAACGAGAGACGAGAGCACAGCTCGCCCTGGCCCTGCTGGGATTCGAACCCGGGCGCCCGCAGGGTCCGGGTATGCACAGCGTCGCTCCACGGGCTCCGCCACGCCCAGAGACTGCGCCCTCCAGCCTCAGCCCAGCTCTACACCGCCTAGTGGGGGGGAGGGGGTGCCATCAATTCTACCTCTTTCTCGGCGCATGAGGCGAGATACCCACAGAGGATTTCGTGAAAAGACGCAAGCTGTTGAGCAGCTATTTCCCACCCTGCCCTGCAGTGGCCTGTGCTCTGTTTTTTACTCCAGCATAACTCAAACCCCAAACCGTTAACCAGATTACTTTTCCCCTTGCTGCTGGGGGAACCCAAGATGTCGGACTGTAGACATTTCATCATTAGGGACTTTGCTGAAGATGTGCAACGCTTTCTATAACGGGAGGTAAAACTCCTCAGTACATTTCGGTCCGGGGGGCACACCTTGGTCTGTCCAGGGGGGGCCGGTCGTACCTGCCGACGCCAGGCTGGATCTCGTTGACCACGACGCGCCGGCTCCAGGCCATCAGGTCTCGCTCGGTGGCCATCTGGCTGCGCGGCGCGTTGTGGTGCATCTGCCGCACTCCCTCCACCTGCCCGCTGCGGCGCAGACCCACGTTCGGGGGGGAGCCCAGGCCCTCCGCGGCACGCACTGCGAAGAGCACACGGGGGGGGGGGGGCCGAAGTCAGGAGACGTGATAAACGTCCACGAAGCGTGCAGACACACCCTCTGACCCGTCCGGCTCCCCCACCCCCATACCTCCGGGCTGGCTGTCCTGCTGCTCTCCGCCCTCCTCCGCCGAGTTCAGGTTCTGATCCTGCTGGCGCTGCAGCTGCCTGATCAGCCCGTCCAGGGGGCTCTCCTCCAGCTCCTCCCCCAGAGTCTGCTGGCCAATCACCTGCTCCACCACCTCCCCGTCTCCTGTAGCAACCACAGCAGCGGCGTGACATCACGGGTCAGAACCATTGCTGTGCATCGGTGTCGTACAGAACACTCTAATTTGTGCTCAGAACCTGGTATCTCACAAGGCACAACTACTGCCACAGCCTGACAATCAAGAAGGCAGGCATAACATAGCCAACAAACAGCTGATGCACATCATTAAGCACATACACTACAGTAAAAAATACAAAGCCACACACCAGGCCCTACTAGAATACTAATTCAGACTGTATCAAGACGCTAACATGTTTTCAACACACTTAATTCCTTCATAGTATCAGCCTTTTAAAGGCGCCAAAGCTTCTGATGCACTTGACTAGATCAGCTGCTCCCCGTCCTGTCCTGGGAGAGCCCTGGTCTCCCCTAGCTTTTGTTCCAGCCGCCTTATTAATTACAGGGTTATCTGGTTTCATTTGTTTTCTAATTCGAGGCATATTTTAATGGGCTTTCAGCTCCTAAAAAGCTGAATGGGATTTTTTTTTTTTTTTTTTATCGCCATCAACCCTGCATTCGTTTGAGGTTTGGGTGGGGTAGCTGCGCTGTCACCAACTGGTCCTCCAGAGTGGGGGAAAAAAACAGCAGCCCACTACCGTCAAATCTCACATCGTCATTCACACTTCATCTCATCACAAAGTGATCACCTTTTAAGAGCTGTTGAGACAGATTAAGCCAGTAGAGAAGAGACTGTATACCGAGATACATGCTGAATTCAGGACGAAACACCTTAATGCCACTGATTTTTAAACCCGAGAACCGACTGCAGAATCAACTAAACCACAGTCTCAACAAACAGACCAGTTAAACGCCAGCATTGAAGAGGTCAAGCAGAGTGCACAAGAGCAGAGGGGCTCCAGGACCAGGGCTGGGGACCACCTCAGTGTGATCCTCGTACCGTTGGCCAGGTAGCCCAGCTGTGGGATCAGCTGCTCCTCCTTGCAGCTCTCCCTCCCAGGCACTAGGCGCTGATAGCGGGGGGGGTGGGGGTTCCCGTCCACATCCACCAGGAAGGGGGGAGGCATGAGGTGGGGTGCCTGTTGCGTCTGCTCGTCCAGCACGTAATTGTTGGAGTCCCGGATCAGCGGGCGGAAATCCGTGTGGAAAAACATCTGATCAGGAATCTGTTGGGGGGGGGGAGAAGGAAAAGGATCAAAGCTACTGTAGCCTGCAGACACCAGAATCCTTAACAGAAATTATGGGAACACGTTTCCATACACGTCTTCACTGAGCACTGGACAGAAAACCAGTTTTAACTGAAGTACACTCAAAGGTTAAGGGCAGGACAGTGGTGAGCACTCATGCCTCGCGGTGCCCTGGGCTCAATTCCAGACTCAGGGTGCTGTCTGTGTGGAGTTTGCATGTTGTCTCCATTTTTGTGTGGGTTTCCTCCGGGTGCTCCGGTTTCCCCTCACAGTCCAAAGCCACGCATAAAGGTTAAATGTGAAAAAAGGGCCGCATGTGCACTGCGATGGACTAGCGTCCCATCCAGAGTGTACCCTGCCCTGTGCTTGTAGACATAGGCTCCAGTTTCTCAACAACCCCAAGACTGGAAGAAGCGGTCAGAAAATCAATGGACATATACCCAGAGGTACCTAAATAAAGTAAGGCACCTTACCTTTATTTTTGACTAAATTAATAAATTGAATATTTTCTACATACACTACAGCTTTTCAGTGTTTTTTTTTTTACCCAATGCGTTAAAAGAGAACATTGTTATATTTATATCACTCCCATAATTCCTTATTTACACATCCCACTATTGCGTCTAACAAGCAAAGAACACGGACACTTGACGGCACCAATTTACTCTGAAACAAGAACTGGCACGAAAACACAGTAGCATTGGTACAAGATAAAAAGAACTTTACAGTCTTTAAAAGTCATACAGATACACGTTTACAAGATGTTATTGGAGCCACTGTGCACTGGAATATTAAAGAAGGGGTTTAAAATTCTGCATGGATACTGAACAGCGCTGCCCGGGTCTGGTCCAGACCAGCCCCAGTCCTGAGACTGCGTGAGAATCACTGCTAGTACAGAACACCCCCTATTCTTCTTGTAGACGAGCTCTCACCTTCTCATAGGGTCTGCTGCACCCAAACCCGAAGATGAGCAGGTGTCCGTGGGAGTCCGTGCAGGCGAAGTGCTGCCCGTCTGGAGAGAACTTGCAGTCGAACACCGCGCCGTGCCCCTGACCCTCGATCTGGACAGGACAGCCACACGCCCGGAGGCAAACGGGGGGGTCACAAGCCAACGAGCCGAGCACGCAGAAAGAGACAGAAAGAAATCCATTAGAAGGCATTCAATAGCACCAGTAATATCACACTGATTAGCAGAACTGCTAATGGACTGAGTGAATTAAAGCAGGGAAGAACTTCAGGTGTGAATCCAAGGGTGTGATACGCCTTCTATATTTACTCCTCAGACACTCACTCAAAAGAAGAATTCCTTGCTACTTGTTGACAAATATAGGATCAGGCTGGTTACAGCTGTGTGCCTGCAGGCAGGGGAGGCGATGGAGAGGAGAGGAGGGGACGCACCATGTTGAAGTAGTTGCGGATCTTGAGGCCCTTCGTCAGGTCCCAGACGTAGATGTTGCCGTCGTGCCCGGCCGACAGCATGATCCTGGAGTCGAAGGGGTGGGGCTCCAGCACATACACCTCGTCATCGTGACCCTGTCGGTGGGGGACAGAGGGTCAGTCACCTGGCCACCCCAAAATCGCACACGCTACACCGGGGTTACAGTCTACTCCAGGGTACGGAGAACCTGGGAATTCCCACTGCACCGCAAGGGATCTCTGGGAGGCGGATCCATGTGGTGGACAACGGGGCTGGAGGGAATACAGGCGTCAATCCTGACCCCTCTCATGTCCCCTTTGGGGGCAGCAGCTCCTCGCCGAGGAAGAGGGAGAGCACTCAGCAGCTGGAGAGGGAAGGTTTCTCACCGAGAGGACGTGCAGCAGCTGGCCAGTGGTGGAGCGCCACACTTTGAGCAGGTAGTTGTTGACGGCCGTGATGACCGTGCTGTCCCCTCGGTCCCAGGCCACCATGGTCACGTTCAGCTTGGTCACCTTGTCCTCCCCGGGGACCGCGCTGCTCCTGCACCGGGGTGACACGCGGGTCAGCCTGCGGCCATGCATCCGACGCACATCCAACACAACTCCCACAACACGCTCGTGCGTGCGTGCGCCGCACTGCAGCGATGAGGTCCTGCGCTCACTGATCCCGTGCAACTTCACAGCGCAAGACACGCGAGGCATGGTGCCTCAGGCTGCAGACAATACAGGCACAGATATCTGCCCTACCCTGGGAGCTTGGCCGTCATGTCCAGGGTGATGCTCTTCCACTCCTGCTGCTGGTAATGCCAGACTCTGGCCGTGCCGTCCCGGCTCCCGCTGACGAACCGCAGGCTGCGAGCAAGGGGAGCAGGTCAGTGAGCAACACGTACAGAACAGGCCAGCGGCAGCGACCGGTGATCTCGAAGACACAAAGACAAAGCCCTCACCTGTCGCTGTTGTTGCAAAACTGAACTGCAACGACTTTATCCTGGAATTAAAGAGAAAAAGTTATGGTGACGCAGAGAAAGAGATAAGGCTGCACCGTGTACTGAAGTCATTTAGGGCCATACTCGATCACTACTTGAACAATTACTTTACAAATTCACATTTAATCATGTAAGACTCACAGAACATGACTCCAGTGCTGACTACCGACACTGGAAACTTTCAGGTCTTACAGGTTAAAAATATCTCACTTACTTGGAGAGCTATCAGCACAGACAAAATTAAGAGTACAAATACATTTGCTTCTATGAATTGACAGCAAAGGGTACAACCTGGAATGGATCAAACCACTATGCATGATGGTTTTGGCATAGTGACTTCTGCCCCTTTCATGGGTTACACCTGTAAAAGTCAGCAGGGACAGTGCTGGGCAGCGACAGGCTCTCCCTTACCGTGTGTGACTCCAGCTCGGCCATCTTTATGGGTGGGTCCAAGCCCAGGTAGTACACCCTGATCACGTGATCGGTGCTTCCAGTGGCCAGAAACATCCCACCTGAGACGCAGACGGACACACGGGTCAGGGGTCAAGAGCTGACTGCGGTTTCAAGCGGGCACTCAACCATCAAAACAGCTAGTCGGCCAGGGGCATCGTGCATTCAAAAAAAGGGTGAAATCTTTTAAGAAACTGAGAAGTTAGATCTCAAAAAGCATTTCAGGCTTTGCACGTTCTAACGTTGCAATGGGTTTTTAAAGGCACCTAAGAGATTGCCATTATTGTTGCTATGGGACAAGAAACCGAGAAGTACAATTTTGGAATAGCACTCACTATTAAAAAAAGTGTGAAAGAACAAGGAACAAAAGCTTAGCAAACTCCAGTGTTGCAGGAACACCTGGAAGACACTGCCAGGGTGTCATGAAAAGGAGGCTACAAGAGAGCACCCCCTCTTTTTCCACTGCACAGCGAAAGAGCTGTTGTCAAGGGCAATAACTCCCAGGATTCCTCCTCGCCTGCATTTTTAAACCTTTTGATCTTTTCGCCTGTCCAACAGTCCTCCCTGCCGAGATCAGAGCAACAGGCCTTTTGAGTTTAATGAAGCACTTCGGGACCCTCAGCGGTAAATGGCAGAGATGCAATTAAAACAATCGAGTCCATTAAGTTAGCATACCGGGCTCCCTGCCCGGTCGCTGGGGCAACCCGCCAGACGTGCCCTCTGCGCCGCGGACAGGGCTGGGATCTGGGATACTCACCGCAGCTGAAGGAAGAGCAGGAGATCTGCGCCCCCGGCCGCGAGCGCTCCGTGAATTTGAAGGGCCGTTCCCTGCAGGGGAAACGGAGATGGTCAGTTTCATCGCGGAGGAGGAAGCCAGCGTCCTGCAAGCGCAGCGTTTCGGAGGGGAAGCACTGCACATTCTCCAAGCAGGACGGCAAGTGAAAAAGTGGCGAGATACACGTGCATCAACTCCTTGGTCTACAGAAGGGATGCATGCCTACTAACGTATTTCTCAAGCAAAAACTCACTACATCTTCAGATCAGTTTAAAAACGAGCCTAGATGACCTGAGATAATACCTAATATCTGAATCGCAGGTAAAGGCGTATGGTAAGTAAATATATTTATAAATGATGTAACAATTCTTACTATACTAAAAGCGCAGCAGTCTAACAATACAAATGCACTGACAAGCACTTTCTCAATATCAGAATAGAAATCCACTTGTACCTTAACACACACAGCCACATTAAACGCTTCCTATATACGACCTTCTGAATAAGATGACTATATTACCACACGATGCACGTTACAGAATTCGAGCTTCAGATTAATCAAGGCTAGCTCGGGTATTCGGGAGGATTATTGGAGTGACGCAAGCCCGCCGCAGTAAGCGCAGTAAGGCGATGCCCCTGCCCCTTCTCCTCTTTTGCAGCCGCTGCACAGCCGGGCTGGAAGGCGGAGCCGCGGGAGGGGAGGGTCCTGGGCGCCAGTGTCCCCGAGGAGCCGGCCACACTCACGCGAACTTCATCGTCACGGAGTGCCACTGCCAGAAGCACACCGTGCCGTCGGCGCCGGTGGAGGTGAGGTACCGCGCCGTGCCCCTCGCGGCCGGAGAGAACTGCGGGGGGAGAGGAGACAGGGCCGTTGAGTCTCGTCACGAACCGCGCTTCCGAAAACCCGCCGGCAGCACCCCCGGTGGGGAGCCGAAACGCATCCCCCCCGGCCCGCCGCGCGGATGCAGACGGCGGAGAAACGGCGGCGGCGGGCGGGTGGGTGGGTGCGCTCGGCCCTTTCCAGTGGGCAGCGCAGGAGGGGCATCAGCGCGCTGCAGCTGCAGTCCTCACAGGCTGCGGAGGACCTGGAGACGGCCAGGGAGCAGCTCCCGCTGTCCGATCGAGGGGCACGCCCGCAGGGCTTCAGGGGGATGTGCCAGTGTTGGAATCTACGCCAGATCACCACCCGATTCCCGAACCTCTTCCGGGTAGGTGAGGTCAGAGGAGAGAGCACCTGAGTGCACCTGCGTGGGGAGGTCTGCCGTCTTTAAACCCCCACCCCTCCTGCCGCACCCCATAATCACGAAACAAATAGTTTTACCCTTCTACGGCGCCCACAACGCCTCTCGGCGCTCCACAAAGCCAACAAGCCCACAGTCACAACTGAGAGAGAATTCCTCAATTCCCCTGAGCCCTGCCTCCTTCCTTGTCCCGTCATAGATTACATGTACTTCACTTCTGCAAAGAATGGAGCACAGGAAAATCTTCCAAGACGGTTTGCTTCTAAAACAATCTCCCGACTCTGCAAGCCTGACACCGATTGTGGGGGAGTTTTGAAAACAGGGGGCAGGGCAGCAAAGGACCCCCGTCCCACTGACTGAACACGTGACGTGGAAAGTTTCTGTGACGTTTTCAGACGTACAAACGCGCCGTGTGTCCAGAAACTTTCCCCCCCAGGGGACGAGAAAAGCTGGTCTCATCTTAAAACTGTGGTCATCGAGGTAGCCGATGCCCTGTCACCGTGAGGGGCCGCTGGCAGCCTGTGCACCGGCCCCAGCGCGGGGGTTACGCTGGCACGCACCTGTATGGAGGTGATGGAGGCGGCGTGGCCCTGCAGCACGGTGACGGGCGCGCAGGTCCGCAGGCACCACACCCGGATCACCTTGTCGCAGCTGGCCGAGGCGATCATGGTGTTCTCGTAGTTGACGGCCATGTCCGAGATCTCGGCCGAGTGGCCCCGCAGGGTGGAGAGGAGCCGCCCGTTGTCCGTCGCCCAGACCTTCACCAGGCAGTCGTCCGAGCCCTGCGGGCACAGCACACGCACGCCGCTGAGCCAGACCCCCGCAGCGCGCCCAAGCTGCTCGCTCGCCACCCGCGGGCGTGACCTCCAATTCACACAGCTCAGGACAGGGGAAGCACGCCCGCCTCTTCTCAAAATAAAAATCGCCGCAGAAAGAGCCTGTCGCTCACAAGTAAAGGCTTCGGATGCAGGGTGTGCACAGCTGTCACACACGCGGCCACTTAACGAAACTAATATTCGTATCAAACACAATCACCCCCCCCCCCCGCCTCATCAAAGCACACGGCCAGTCAGCCCGAGCCCCCCGGTCGTACCGTGAAGATGCGGCGCCCGGTACGGTCAAAGGCCACGCAGTACACCGACGACAGGTGCCCCAGGATGCGGCGGTGCATCTTCATGTGCTGATAGGTGGAGAAGGGGAGGGTGTGGCTGAACCGGGCGGAGCCGGTGGTCCGCCGGGCGCCCATGATGGTGACTGGCGAGAGAGAGAGAGAGAGAGACGAGCAGACCGCTTGAGTAGGAGGCACGGCGAGGACACCGAGACCGATTATAGTCAGGAACTATAGTCGGGCCCTCAGCTCACAATGCGGCTTTTTACCGTCATCCGCAAGCCCCAAAGTCGTGACCTGAGAGTTTCAACGAAGGAGCAAAGGGACAAGTTAAGTGCCGGGAAACACTCGGAGCGGTGCCAGTCAGCCGGGAAGGCGAAGGCGAAGGCAGGGCTCACCGATGCTGGGCGGTCTCCCATAAATCAGGGGGGGTTCTGGGGGTCTCCCCCGGTGCAGAGCAGCAAAGGCTGAACCACTCCATACTGTGTGACTGCACCCTAAAAGGAAAGAGACAGACGGGATTACTGCCAGCAGGCCCCACGACACTACCTAACCCCCCAGCAGAGAAACCTGTCGCACTCCAAGGCTGAGCAAGGCCCGCATTTAACAACGCTACCCACGTTCTCCCCGAAAAGCATTCAAAATCCTCAAAGGCACCGGCGGATTTAATTTGTACCAAACAGGGAAACGCAGAACCAGTGGGCACAAGTGGAAATGCATTGGAAACGGAGAACTGGAGGCACTTCTCTACGCAAAGGGTGGTGGGAGAGTGGAACGCGTGAACCAGGCATGCTGTTGAAGCCGACACCAGGGCTTGAGTCAGGGGAGAACTGGACAAGACCCTGGGATTAATTAACCAGTCAAGACCGAACAGCCTCCCCTCGATTGTAACTGCTGTGTTCCTAAAAGGAGTTTTTCCCTGGCTTTCGGCAGGGCAGCCCACGAGTGGAAATGTACCTTTGGCAGTGCGCAGAAGGGACTGCCTGCCGACCCCCAGCAGGGTGTGCACCCCCGGGACGCTGGGGGGTACCTCCTTGTCCAGGAGCGGCCCAAACCGCTGGCAGATGCGCAGCAGGTAGTCCGTGGGGATGTGCCGATTGAGCTTCACCTGCGCGGGGAAACAGGAGGGACAGGACACGGGCGCGAGTGAGCGGGGAGGCCGGGGACGCGACCTGTCCTGTCCGCGCGCTTCTGAAAGACAAGCCCCCCCCCCCGGTACAGCCTGACGACTCACGAAACCCCACACGGAGCCACTTGCAATAAAAAAAAAGTCAAATGAAATGACCTCAGTAACTCACTATTCATGAAGGCACATAATAATAATTAATAATAATTGCTTACACTTATATAGCGCTTTTCTGGACACTCCACTCAAAGCGCTTTTACAGGTAATGGGGATCCCCTCCACCACCACCAATTGCACATGCAAGGAGCAATTAAAAAGACAAAGCAACAAACAATAAACTACACCCCAGAGGTCTGAACGGAGCCAGGTAGTTTAACGGTAAACATGTCGAGCAGCTCCAGGGGACCCACACCTCAAAAACAAAAACACAAGAATGCAAAAATACCCCCTCAAAAAAAAAACAACCTGAAGCAAGTTAGACCACAGGGGTTAAGTCTCATTCACAAGGGCCGTTTTCACAAAGCCTGACAGGACTGGTCCTGAATTCCTGCATCTGGAGCTAATTCAGGTAATCTAGCGCAACAGGTACAGGAGCCCCCCAAAGCAGAAACGGAAACAGGCAACGTTTCTCAGACTGAGCTACAACGTTACACTTTTCCACTGGTGTAGCTCATCAGGCTCAACTCCTACACATCCAGACACCTCATCTATATAACCCAGCAACAAGTAATCACCTGCACTACACAGAGACAACCCACTGAAAGGATGCAAAAGACACAGGCTGACAACAGGCGATGCAGATTACGACAATACACAAGATTATTGAAATTTGGTTACGACTTCAGTCTGTTTCGTAAACACTAACTTTTCACAAACACGAACGCATTCGGGATGAGGGCGGGAGACTCATCGCATCGGCGCAGCATACAAATGCCAGGGAAACGCGTTTCTAAATGTCGGATCTGTAGAATTTAACCGGCCACGAACTTTGGGATGCAAAAAGACAGCGGTACGATTACACTCCATAGGAAAATACCAGGGCTAAGGCTGAGGCAGTAGCTATAGTGTGGGGTCCGAATCGATCGCACGGGGTTTTAGAAGGAGCAGCTCAGAGTACTTGAAGCTACAGGCTCTGCCCCCCCACCACCAAATTGGTCAAATTACGTGTTTACATGCACGCAACACGGCGGGCTGGCTGCCTTTTGTGTCTGACCGGTTGTGCCATGCACTCGCACACGACAGTCACAGGCGAGCCTCCCTCGCCGCCTCCTAGCGTCCGCTGACCAGCTGCACGCGCACCCGCTGCGCGACTCCGGCGTCTCGCCGCCGCCGGCCAATCAGGGCGAGGCTCCGATCCCCCCGCACCGGCTCGCCACAGTGGTAACTGGCTTCCGATTGGCTGGCGGCGGAGGCCGACGTCACTCTCTGCCCTCCCCCGTCGGAGCTACGTGCCCTGGGATAACCCCCTCCCCCTCCTGAGCCAACACAATAAGGCGTTCATTTCAATACAAAATATCCGCTTCTACACACGGAATTTCTCCAAACCCGAAAGCTCACAGGTGCTTAAAACCTGCCCCCCAGCACCTCGCCTGAAATTATATTTCGGTTTAAAAAAAAAAAAGATCAAAGTTAACTCCACAAACACACAACCGTGAGCACAACTTTCTCGTTCAAAAAAAAAAATAATAAAAACTCACCCAGTCTTCAAAGTTTCTTTTATATTGCTTCCCGTCCCAGCTCCATCGTCTGGGAATGAGCTAAAAGACGAGGGGGGGGGGGGAACGAGTTTTTGTTTTAAAAGCAGGACCGACGCTCGACTCCGAACAGCCCGCAGATCTGTTTCCCGTCTCCAAAAAAAAACCCCCCTCCCCCGCCAACAGGACTGAAAATGATATAATATTAAGTAAGAAAAGCGATATCGCGGAAACGAGACGTGAGAGGGGAGTCGAGAGAGAGCGGCGCTGCCTACCTCGAACTCTTCCAGTTCCTCCACCAGGACCTGGAGGAGAAACACACAGGACTTTCTCAGCACCGCAGACCCGAGAGAAAAGGCAGAGAGATGTGTCGGCGGATCGCGGTTCTGCACGCCGGCCTTACCTGGGCCGATTTCTTGCACGGTCCGGACTGCAGAAACCTGGCGATGAGGTAATACAGTTCTGAAGAGGAGGAGGAGGAGGAGAAGAGGGGGGGAGAGTATTAAAAAGCCATTTACTCGCGCAAACCCCTCGCACGGCGGACGGCAGCATCTCCGCTTTCGGGCGAATAAAGAAACAAATTGAAAAGAAACGCTCGGCGACACCCACCGGCTTCGATTTGGGAGCATTGGACTTCTGCCATCTCTCGACCCGGACGCCGGCGCTGCGCCTCCGGTTGTTGTATTTGTTTGTATTGGGAGGAAAAAAAAAATTTGCCCCCGTAGAAAGCGTTCCCCCGGCGTTCGGCCTTTTTTCCTTTCTCAGGCTTTTCGGAGCATCAAGCCTTGGTGCGGATGGGCGCGCCCCCTGCCGGCCGCCGTGCGCACTCGCTGGGGGCTGCGTCATGCTGGTGAAGCGGCTGACGCTGCGAGGAAGCCATCTTGGTGAAGGATAACAACGAAGGCATCATGACCACCCCCCCCTGCTTCCTATCTCTCTCCTGTCCAGTAGGGAATGCCTCGCTAAAGCTACTAAGATTTAAAAACAATCTTGGTGAATTGGAAAATAAAAAAAACAACCACGGCTTCAGGGCTCGTGGTGTATCCACACTGATGTGAAATAGTCTAGCCGGAAGCCTCAGTTCGTCCTCTACACGTGAAGTTCATATAGAAACAAGTGTAAATACTGTAGTGGGCAAATTCAACAGGAGTTGGGCGTCTAAAAGTTCGCAGCCGGGTCAAAGTAGCGTCTAGGCAGTATGTAGTTAACGAGGTGGATTTCTAAAAGCAGGAATTCAGAGTAGACAACGCACATTCATAAGCTGACACGAGTCCTGGGGGGTCGGCCTTTGCACAATATCGGTGTCTTTTGCGACGTGGGCTTGTGAGATTTGAACCAGCTCTGTACCACAAGCAGAAAACTAAGCTGTGGATTTCGACTCTTCCCCATCTAATAAAAGACTGTTTCATATCACGGATCCCGTTTCACTAGACTGAGGGGGATCGAGTCAGTGATTCTGGACTGTGAACTGATTTTTTTTTTAAAGTAACTTCCTAGATCAGCGTCCTTCCTTGACAGACCAGCTAAACCTACCCCAGGTAGGTTTCAGAGGCGCATCACGCAGCACAGCGGAGGGAGACGGATGCGTCTGGGATAGTTTCAGATAGGGGGCGCCCGCGGGCCGCGAATTCGCCATTGTTTCGCTCGGAGGAGACGAGCGTTTGTGTTGCAAAACATTTCACCTTCCTCGAGCTGCCGCTTCGCTGCGTATGCCGTGTGTTTCATCGAGCTCAGCCCACAAAGGAGAAAAATAGAAAAAATAAATGAACAAGCACGCAGGGCAGCTACGCCTGGAAACACAAGTCGTTTTCGGAGCGGTACACCGGAGCGGGCAGTCCGACAGTCAGCCATCTGCCTGAGCCGGATAATTCCCCATGCACGTATTCTGACACCTAATATTATTATACGGCAGCCATGATAGTGCTGCCCGGATTATGTTATTGACGAAACGCAATGCAGAAGCAACTGGAAGGATGTGTTTCAAGCCCCTCTGCCTAACCCTCGCCTCACATTCCTAAATAGGTCATTTAGAAAGCGACCTACTTTAACAATTAGTACCGGTAAAAAAAAAAGCAACATCAAACAACAGTCTTTTTTTTTAAAAAAAAAAACATAATTCTCCCAGTGATAGCACAGCGTTTTGCTTCCCATCCAATGGCTACCTGTCCCCATCGCGAAAGCGTGTCATGTCTGCAAATGTTACGCAACGATCTACAGAACAGGACGCACAGGTTCCCTGCTTGGAACAGCTTGACAGCCCAGGCGCCATAATGCAGATTCAGTCCTGGTGCCCACACATCGAGGGGAAAGGAACCCTCGTCCTCTACAATATATATATAGAGCTTATTATATTAATAAAGTATAATAATGTAATAGCCAGGATGCAGGTTTCTTCACTTTTATATGTCAGGTAAGTAGTAAGCAAGTGGTGTAAGTAATAGTGGTATCTACCCTGTTTGTCCATGTAATGGGTTGAAGGTCACTCACACAGGTGAAGGCTGAAGGCTTAGCTGGTGTATGATTGACTCCAGAGGAAATTGTTTCTTAGGAAATTGTTTCCAGCAGCCATATCACTCTGCAACTCACACCTGGTAACCCACTGAAGCTCAGCAGGTGTGAGCCTGGCCAGTACCTGGATGGGAGACCTCCTGGGAAAAACTAAGATTGCTGCTGGAAAAGGTATTAGTGGGGCCAGCAGGTGGCGCTTACCCTGCGGTCCATGTGGGTCCTAATGCCCCAGTATAGTGACGGGGACCGTCCTTCGGATGAGACATAAAACCGAGGTCCTGACTCTCTGTGGTCAATAAAAATCCCAGGGCGTCTCTCAAAAAGAGTAGGGGTGTAACCCCGGCGACCTGGCCAAAATTCCCATTGGCCTTTACCAATCATGGCCTCCTAATAATCCCCATCTCTGAACTGGCTTCATCACTCTGCTCTCCTCCACACTGAGAGCTGGTGTGTGGGGAGTGTACTGTGAGCGCAGTATGGGCTGCCATCGTGTCATCCAGGTGGGGCTGCACACTGGTGGTGGTGGAGGGGATCCCCATAACCTGTAAAGCGCTTTGAGTGGAGCGTCCAGAAAAGCACTATATAAGTGTAAGCAATTATTATAATTAATGTTTCGTGACGCTGTGTTGTTGGGATTTCTCCTGCTGCCTAGTGTTGGGATGGCAACCTGTGTGTCTTTCCTGTCCATACTGTCTTTTCCATTGGCTTTCCCATGCAAGTCTCTTTCTTTGTCCCATACCACCGTCTGTGAATTATTAAGTCATGGAGCTTTAGATACACTGTCTTTATATTGTCCTTTGGTTTTTAGGCTCTGTCTCTTTTTCTGTCCCTCTTGAAGGAATCCTACCCAATACCCTTTTCTCCTCTAGGCAGGGTGAAAGGTCAGAGGGCAGTCCTGGGTCACGCAGGCAGGGTCAGGAGGGTGGGACGTGCTGTTAGGGCTCAGGTGTTCGGGACACTTTCCACACCTGACGTCAGCCAGCTCCTGGAAAGGAGAGCTGGTGCCTCCATCTGTGCACGGGCACATCCGTGAGGGATAACGTGGAATGGATCGGGATGTGGTTTCAGGCTGGAATCCCCCACTAATCCCATATATGCAAACACTAATGAGGTGAGTTCTCTCTTATCTGCAAAGCACTTTGGTTTGTTTTAAGATAAAAAGAGCTATATACATGAAAGGCACTATTAATATAGCAGTGCCTGGAGACAAAGCACTGTAGCATGTGCAGTATGTGTGTTCAGTCCCTGGCTGCAAATCACATTAATCTTCGCTAATCAAGCCGATAATTAGCTCACTTATGTAACGCAGAGCTCAGCTGAAGTGATGACCAGGAAGACCTTGCAGGTCTGTGAGGTGGGAGATCTCCCTTGTAAGATATCGGTTCTGCCTCTTCTCTGCGGTCCAGGTAGCCCTTTGAACACGGGTTCAACAGAGCTGGGATCTCAGGGATCTCAAATCAGGGTCCCGGAGAGCTGCAGGATCTTATCATTCCCGTTACACCTCAATTAGATAAGTGAGACTTTAAATCAGCAGATTCGCACAACAGGTGCTACCTCTACCTTTTTTTAACATATAGCATTACTCCTGGGACATATGTGCAGTTTTTTTATTGATGGGATAAACTAACCAAGATCAGTTCCACTGATGAAGGATCATGTGTTTGAAACCTGAAAGGTGTGAATTCCCTGCACAGCGGTCCTGTGGTCTGCAAGCAGAGCTGCCGGCTAGCTCAAGCCAGCGCAGACCTAGAGTTGTCAATCTCCTGTAACTCCAGTACTGCCCCAACAAGCCAGCGTTCTGCACAGCCGCCCGAGCAGGCCCGGCCTTTAGGCACAGGTGCTGGGACAGCGCTGACAATCTTGCCTCTTGCAGGTGAGTGAATCGTGCTTATCAGGCTGTGATACACCAGCGTCACGGGCTACTTCAGCTGGGGGAGGAGGACGGTTCATGCAACAGCCTGTTCCTGCCCGAGCATCTATCCGCCTGACACAACATCGGGGTTTTAATCATCAGTCCCCAAAACAAAGAATCCCCTGGTGACCATTCTCTCCAAAAGAATTCTTTGGCAGCCCGCCCACTTTCTTTAAAAAAGAAATGGTCCTTTAGTCAATTTAAAGTAGAAGGCAGACTGCTATTTTTAGCCTTGCATTTGAATGAAAGAAAGGGGAGAAAAAGCCAGTGGTAGACCAGTGAGCAGCTCCAAGACGAGTGATGTAATTGTTTTGACAGCCGGGGCGGCTCTGAGTGAAAATATGTAGTCTCTTACTGTACAGTCCACGGGCATCTGGTCAACAGACAGACTGGCACAGACTGGTAGTTTAATAGGAGGTGCTCCTGAGCCTCTAAGATATGAGTCATTCTCCCTGTCTCTTCACTGTGTGAGCCCAAATCCTGCTTCTGTAAAACCAAACCAGCTGGAGCACCACATCTGGAGTGCCCTGAGATTATGGAGCGCGTATGGCTGTAATCTCTGTCCCGTGTCACACCTGACAGACGAACGGTGGGATTACTACCTTCTGTCTGAGAATCTTCACCCTTCCCGCTGAATTGTATTCTCCGCAGTTTCACACTGCGGAAATAGGAAACCCTCCATACCAAACAAGATGAAGAGTTCCTTAAAAACAGGAAAGCAGACCAGACTCCGTTTTAGGAGTAATCTTAGGAGGACAGTCTGAGTATCAGATGCAGTAAATGCATACAAAACGTGGAAACACGTAAGAAAACAAGAAAAGGGTATTTTAAGGGTTATTGCTGGCAAATACAAGACTTCCTAATGAGGAATTCATTGCTGAAGCCTGCTTTTAGGTATACAGCAGCTACTTAAGTGAATTACACATGCAAGGGACTGATACATATTCATGCTTTAAATTATGTTAATAGAGCAACTAATCCAATGTGTGTGGAAGTGCATTTAACACCAAGACCAGAGGACACTTCATTGTCCAGAGGGCTATGGGGGTGTGGAACAGCTGTGTTGTTGAAGACAGTTCCCTGGATTCTTTCTGACTATCAAATGGGCTAGTTGGGCTGAAAGGCCTCCTCTTATTTGTAACTGCAAATGTAACTCATTTGTAATTTGTCTCTTATAGAGCCAGCATTTTACATGTCTGAGTCACAGGTCCTGCACATGGTGCCATGCAAATATCTGCGGGTCAGATTTGCATGCATCTTCAGTTCACAGGTCTCTTTTGCACTCAGATGGACTCTCACAAAAGGACACAGCATGACGAAAAGAATGGAAAAGTGACCCAGCACACACACAGAGAGTGGAGGTGTGTCTTTACAAACGAAGCGGCACTCTCTGCAAATGCAAAAAAGGCCTGGGAGAAGGAATAACACATTTCAGGTGCTGAGCAGCTAAATATCAAAGTGGGTAAGAGAACTGATCAAATAACCCTTGCAAATTAATTACTCCATGGTGGTGTGTTAGTATTATTTGCAGTGTATATACAAATGTGTTCATTTAATCTCCATTCCATGTCACATGTCTCTGAGCTCTCAAGATTAGAGGACCAAACAGATGAAGGCTAAAACAGAGATACCTTCATGCTGTATGTTCCTGTTGCAGTTCTTATAACTCCTCATGTACAGACCCAGTCTGTATGGTGCTGTATCTATATGTACAGTACAGTCATCGTATACAGAACTAGGCAGTATGGTGCTGTAACAGTATGTAAAACTCATTATATACAGATCCA